CTTTATCTTAGTAACTTGCATTTTTGAGATCGAGTTTGACAGTTCTGGATTTCTGGAAGGTCCCCAACTAGAAAACACTGTGAAAACAATGTGAAATGGGGTATTCTGCATTTATTTCACCATTCTGCTTTTTTTTCACTTCATAGTTTATGCTGGGTGTCTTAAAATAAAAATTGTTCGATTTGACACTAAAATTTCTTCAGGAAAACATGAAAGCTTTTTCAGGGGGAAAAAAGTTGCTTCAAGAGGAAATTCTTGTCTCTCAGTGAGCTCAGAGTTTGCTCTACATTGGGCAAAATACTGCCTACATCTGAGGGGAAGGAGGCAGCAAGTCACACAGGGTGCAGGACAGCAGGGCAGGAACCAACATGGAGCACTAGCTCTGAGGAAGGCTTTTAACTGTGTCAAATGGAGTTACTGAAGTCTCTCCAGGGACTGCTCTTTCCCCCTGCTCCAGGCAGGACCACTGCCTAGATCTGAATTTGGAAGCCTCTTTGGGCTTCTTTATGGCTTGGTTGAACTCTGCTTAAGTTCCCTTATCACTGGTGGAGATGAAGACTGCATAAGACTTCAACTTAAATCTCGTAATGGGTATGCACAAGAACTTCATAGTTTTAAGTTCCAGCTCAATACAAGAATGTATCTCCTATCTCATTGTGTGGCTTAGAATTTACTAGACTTAAAATACCTGCTCTTTTTGAATTCCATGTACTTTAGTCTTTGAGTCAGCTTTCTACAGAAATCTGTATCAGACTTGAATTGGAAGTGATTTCCTTAGGTACAAGAGGTGGTTGTTAATACTTTGTTTAAAGTCTCTAGAAGACACCATGTGGACAAGGTAGAAATAGTTATGGAAAAAAACACCTGCTAGTCCACCATGACGATCAGTACCTTGTAGGGGAATCTGCCTGCCTGCATGTGTGCTGTTTGGGGAATGTCTTGAAACTAATGGCCAAGTGCTGGCTACTGGGTTGGGGCTGGGAGTACAAGGAATGATTAGGAGTGGTGCTGAGGTATGCAGCCATTGCATGATGGGTTTAAAGCACAGACCTCTTGGGTTAAAGTTTGGAGTTAAAGTTCTAGATGCTGTCGGTGGATGATTCCTTCAGTGCTTCATTCAAGAACAAGGCAGTGCATGAACTCCCTTGTCATCCTCTGGTATTCCACTGTTCTCTCTCCCCTGCTTTCTGGTTGGTACATCTCCTCTTCCAGTTCTCCCAGTGCTTTCCCTGACAGTGGCAGGTGCCTCATCTCTACAGCATACACCAGCCCTCTTGGCAGAGATGTCAGACTCTGTATTTCCTGCCTGACACTAGCTAGCCTGTTGCACTGGATTCTTCTAATTCAAAAAGTGTGATGCTTAAAATAAGGTTGTGAATGTTGTGACACATCTGAATACAGCTCATTTGGGTTGCTCATACAAGCGTATGGTCCTCCCCCTCTCCTAATACAAATTAAGACAGATTATCAGGCTACTTTATAAATACCATGGCTAGGATTGACTGTTGAAACTTTATAACAGTGAGAAATAATCATATTGCTTTTAATGGTTTTATAGGCCTCTTTCCTGGAGACCTATTGCTGCTGCCAAGCAACGCTCTGTGACTGAAGTGCTAGCCAAGTTCCAAGCAGCTGGATTTGGCAGAAATTTGGAGGTTAAAGCCAGCCTCAGCAGACAATAGCTCGTGTGGTGGCCTGCAGCTGCTGCTCTACACCCAACAATAAATCCTAGTGGGGACTTGAGGCTCAAAAAGACCATTGGTGCAAAATTCCTGCAACGCACCTACCCAGAGCACAGGGAAGTATGGAAAGGTGTGCTAGAGAATGGATATCTGCAGGGTTCTGATCCATCTCCCACTTGCCATGCAGAAAACAAATGTCTCTTTGGCTCTCTGATGTGCTACAGCTAGGAAGGCAGTAAGAACTGTGCAAGGGATGTTTCCCTCTAGGGTCAGGCCTGGAACAGGTTAAGGAACTTAAGGGAGTTGAGCTGGCAGTTGAGGCAGAGGGGATTATCCTCAGCTGAGTTTTCCTTCTGTACTGTTTAAGAAGAGAAAGCTGCAGATCTTTAGCTCATGCGTTTGTTTCTTCCTTAGTAGGATCAATCTGACAGATTGCACAGATGCACTTTTATCAAGAGCATTCACTTTTTCTGGCCCCAGTTGGCCCACAGAGGGCAATGTGGTCCCACAGTGCTGTACAGAAGCAGTGCCTGGCAAGCAGTGTCTCCGAGGCAGTTTGTGTGCTTGTTCCTGCTGCCAATAGTGTGTGTCTGAGGGACTGGCAGCGGGCCTGGAGCTGCACCTGAGTTTTATGAAGTGAGCTGGAGAACCCTTTTCAAGGTCTGTGCACTCACCAGGCAGCTGGACACTCTGCTTGAAGCTCTTACAGGTCTAGGAGATGCTCATAAGCATCATCTGAATCCAGAGAGGAGGTGAAAGATGAGAGCAGAGGTACCAGCTGAGGTTTCCCCTTCTACTCTCCTGCTCAAAGAATATCTTGCCTGACCTGGCAGTGGGGCAGGCAGCTGTACAGAATTGCACAGCCCTAGCCAGGAGCCTACGGGTTAACTCACCCACCAAGGCACTTGAGTCACCCCGTGCTTGCAGGACAGCCCAGCATAGAGCAGCCTTCAGATAAAACAAAGTACCTTCTGCCTGGCTGGGGCGTAGATAAAAGCTCCCCTGGCATTTCTTGTGAAGCCTGGAGGAGACTGCCAGTGCTGAAGCTGAGCTCCCTCTGCCAACAAACAAAACTGCCTGTAAACTCTGAGGCTGTGTGTGAGCTATTGTTGGGGGCATAATGGCTTCTCTGTTTCCCTGCACAGTCATTGCTCCGCTAACAGGCCACTGGTCTCTTCTAAAAGTAGTTGAGTGTAAATCAAGTTCTAGAACCTGGAAAGAATTTTCATCCATTTACCTTTTACTGCCCTCAGTTGACATTTGTTTGCAGAACAGCAGTATATTTACACCCTGGTTTGAGCTGCTTTACTTGGAGATATCATTACTGCTCAGAATGAGACCCACAGATACAGGTTTTGGCTAGAGACCTCCTAATTGAAATAACAGGAGTGGGGTGGGTGAGGGGACAGTGCTTGCTGGTCTCCTCCCTCTGAGAAGAGTTTTGGTTTGGCTGGCCTGGCCTGTTTCCTCTAGTTACCTCAGTGCTGGCATGCTCACTGCTCCCTAATCCTGCTGCTGCTGCAAGGCGCCGAGTGCTGCTCTGGCTGATGGAGTTTGTTCTACTTTGGGCTCTTGAGCATCCACAGAGGGTAGGGTTGATGGATCCACTCTTCACCCACAATGCCATGGATTGGCTTGTCTCTGAATGTGGCAAGATGCTTCCAAAAGGTAAAGGGCATTTGGCCTATTACACAAGTACAGTAGTCAAAGTTAACACCCAGAGCTGCCCTACAGAGGGGGAAGTCGGTCCCTGAAGGCAATATGATGAATTTAGGTCTTTTTTGATGGAAGAATCTTGTAATGGAAAAGGAAATGGGTCAAAGTGTAGCTGTTCAAGAAGTATTTCATCAACTGTGAGTCCCAGCAAGGTGGTAGTAACTCTCCATCCCCGCAATAGCTCTCAATCTTCCTGGTGTGTATCTGTAACGTGCATGCCAGAGAGCTCCTTGGTGACTTCTGCTCACTCACAGATGAACTGTAACCCTGTGCACCCCAGGAGCAGCTGTGTGCAGCACCAGGAAACATGAAGACGTGACCACTGCCCATCACCATCTGGAAGTGGCAGGCTCACTGGAAAGGTGCTCTGGCCAAGGGCCTGGACAGGGTGGGATGCTGTGTTCATACTGGGGTGTGCCAAATAGTTTGGCCAAGGTTGCTTGCTAATGACTAAGATGTGTTTTGCAGTGGTCATTCACAGCCTTCTGGACAGAGACTCCTCCACAGACATGGTGTTTGAAAGCACATTATATAAAGTTAATTTCTTTTTTAAGTTTTCCTCTGAAAATGATATGACTAACATCAGTTATGTTCTGCTCTTTGAATTTCCCTTCTCACCTATGAATCTACTGTTTTTTTTTGGTGTATGAGGTTGCCTACCTGCTGTAACTAGCCCAAGTTGCTGTTTGGGGGCCTTTTCCTTTCTGGTAACACTTCAGAGCTTTCAGGTGCCCACTGAAGCAGATCACTTTGCAAACAGGATGGCAGGAATGGGTAAAGGGGAAGCTGATAAAAGCTTTGGAGTTGTTAGAATAGTTGTTCTGCACAGTGATGGCAGGGGCATAGAAATGGTGCTGGCAATGCCCATAGAAAAGTCTTGGTATGAATCTGAGTGAGCAGATATTTGTAAGACCCTGTTTGTGAGAGGTTTGGGGGAGGAGGAAGCCATTCACTGCCCATAGCTCAAGGGCTGGAAAGGTGGGAAGGGTCATATACAGCCTCACCATGTGGCTAAGAATAGGGAGGAAAAGATCAAATCCAGCCTGCATCCAGGGTGTGGGCAGGATGTAGTGCCCAACTCCATCACATTACAAAGGGGCAAAGGCCTTGCCAGCATGTGCAGGAGAGGGAAATCTGGTGAAGACTCTCTGATTGGTATTCCTGACTTGACTTAGCATCTAGCTAAAATCCAGTCTGACACTGGGCCCCTGTTCTCCCAAGCAGGGCATAACTTAAATGCTTGCTGAGCATCTAAAATCTTCAGAGTGTAGTCATAAAGGGCTGGGTTGTCCTATCACCATTGAAAGGTAACAGTACCAGGACATCTTGAATATCCTCTTCTCTCTTAATAGTCCATTTAAAAGCAGGACATCACCCTGTTGTGAATGTCAAGGAATACAGAACTGGGCTCACAGCTCCCCTGGCCACTCCTTCCCAACCACCCTCCCATGTGCAGAGCTTCAGCTGCTGGGGGGTAGAAGGGGGAAACAGTGGATATGAAAGAAGACAGATGAAAAGGCTGCTCTTGCGTCTGATCATTTGCTTTCTAGTTCCCATACACCCCAGAAGCTGCAAGGTTGACAATCCTGTCTTGTTCCACAGGAAGATGAAGAAGTGCTATGTGGTGACTGGAGTCCTGACTGCAGCCCTGCTGGGGCTCATCTTGTTCCTGGGTCTCTTCTTTGGACTGCCCTCTGACTCAGGGGACACACACACTTACAAGAAGGCGGCTGTGGCGACAGACGCGGGGCAGTGCTCAATAATTGGAAGGTACCTACTAATTGTTCTGTGACTTGCATTAACTCTGACACCTCTTGCACAAGATAAAACTGTTGTTTCCCCAGTGTCCAGGTGCAAGCCTGGCAGTTGACCAGCACAGGTCACCTCTAAACTCCCCGTGGAAAGAGGAGGCCATAATAAAACCTGGGCTTTTACCATTCCTCACCAAAGTTACTGCAGTTGCTCAAAGACAGCATAGCAGGCAAAGATCCCCATGATCATTCATGAACAATGGGAACAAGAGATGCTTTTTGAGCTCCTTATAAAATTCATTTAGCAAACTGTCCTCTAGTCCCAGATGCAAATGCTGAGATTTCAGGCTCCTCCAAGCATTGCTGTTTCTCATGTGAATGTGTCTGGGATGCCTGTCCCCACATGCACTTTAACACATCTTGGTGCTTCCAGACTAGTGTGGATGTGTCTCTGAGGGCTGATCTGGTCTGGAACTGGACCATTAGGATCTGTTCTCTAAGTTGATAGAAGCTCAAAACTTCTTTTTCCTGAGGAACCTATAGACAAATGGGCATTAGAGAATCTGTCATAGCTGCTCTGATGAGGTTAATTGACTGCTCACAGGTAGCTGAAACACTGTAACATGTCACCATATGATGCCTTCTCTTCTGCTTCACAGGGACATCCTTCAGCAAGGTGGATCAGCAGTGGATGCTGCAATTGCAGCTATGCTCTGTGTAGGACTCATGAATGCTCACAGCATGGGCATTGGAGGGGGTCTCTTCTTTACCATCTATAGCAGCACAGGTAAGAGACAGGGCCATACACATCTGGAACAGTTTGGTAAGTCTTTACTCAAGCAGGTGATTTATCCTACCTGAATAAGGGTAAAAGATTGATTCTGACAGCCTCTGGGGGAGCACACTATCCTCAAAATAATTGCCAAGAAACTGGCTCATATTGATCAGACTTTAACAGAGACCACGCCTGTGTATTGAGTCCAGAGCTAAACATCATCTTCCTTGCTCTGTCATTAAAGGAAAAGTGGAAATCATTAACGCAAGAGAGGTGGCTCCAAGCAGAGCATCGGAGGACATGTTTTGGAACAACACACAGCTTTCTCTGAAAGGTATGGCAAAAGCTATTTCATTGCTTTGGGGGGACCAAATAATTCCAGCATTAGCTACTACTGACATGTTTAAATTAAGAGTATTTCTTTAAATTAGCTTCTTGCCTATCTCCAGGATTTCTCACCCAGAAATGTCCTCTTTTACACAGTCTGCAAACTCTGTTCTGACAATGCAAGCTAAAAATAATGCCCTTCAAACTGGTTATTCACCTCAGCACTTCCTGCTTTTCACTTTATGAGAATGCAGGTGAATCCAGAGCACTGAGTATGACCTGTTCTATCTTTACACCTTTTTGAATAAATCTTTGTGGATCAGCTTAGTTCTTGTCAGTTCAATATCCTCCCTAAACACCTTTTGTGGTGGCTTCAATTAGTGGTTGAAGGGCTCCAGAGAAGAATTCATTTCCTTTCAGGGCAGTATTTTCTAATCAAAACCAAAAGAAATGCTAACTAGCTCTCTTCATGGTCACTCCTGTAACCAAGGAGGAACAGCATCTTGGAGAGGGTTTGAGAAATGTGTAGAACTTCAGGGAGGTGCCAGTAAAGACAGGATCAAAACAAACTGCATCATCACTGTGCAATGCAGTAATCAATATATTGCAATTGTAGTTACAATGCTGCAAAAAGGTTTTTGGCTGAAGTATGTCTGTGTCCTTGTACTGTAGTGAGTCCTCCTCTGAGGGACTGGAAACTGCAGGCAGCTGTGATAACTTCTGTGTTCTGAGCAGCTTTTCCCCGGTGCAGAGCCCACTGAGGGGAAAAGACCCAACAACGTGAGTTAATAGGAAGAGGGTAGAGGTGTTTCAACCTCTGTCTGGTGCAGTCCACAATATGTAGGCATGTTATGTTGGACAGCGTAATTCCATTAGCATCATCTGCATAAAACGAGCTGGAAGTATATGTAGTATAAGTAATCCCTGCCTAAAAACAGGGCTAACATAGAAGCCTGCTCTACCTCTGTACTCTATTATAATCACTTTCTTTTCTTGCTATGGAACACTAATACATTCCTCATCTGCTCCAGGAGGACTGTCCATTGCTGTGCCAGGAGAAATCCGTGGGTATGAACTGGCTCACAAACGTCATGGCAAACTGGCATGGGAAAACCTGTTTCTGCCCAGCATCAAGTTGGCAAGAGAAGGGTTCCCTATTGGGAAAGGCCTTGCAGCAGCCATCAAATCAAGAGAGGAGTCAATTGAGAGCAATCCCTCACTGTGGTAGGTAGAGAAGTCTCACTGTAGTAGGTAGAGCAGTTGTTGTTCTCTACAGAGAAATTTGGGGTAACTTCATTCTAGCTGAAAAGTCTTTATGTTTGTGTAATGTAGCATCTGTGAGGAGCATGCCTCTCCTCCAGTGACAGCACTCACTGTGCCTGATGTTGTTATTCTAGCTGCCTGTCAGTGCTAAATAATGTGGCCAATTTTAGGAATGTTCAGTCCTGACCTTTAAAGAGAGAGAAATTCTGGTCTTTTGAAGTCCATTTGTCTGAGCAAAGGTGGAATTAGAGTACTTGTTGGGATAAATCTGTCAGACAGCAACATATTTTCTGAATCCTCAGCTTTTCCTCATGCTGTAAGTATATCAAGCTAATCTTACCTGCAGCTGGGGAAATTGCAGAGACTCCTCGAACATTTCTCCTGCTCTCAGACAGTGGGAATTTGGGTCATATCATAGAATCATAGAATCGTTAGGGTTGGAAAGGACCTTAAGATCATCCAGTTCCAACCCCCCTGCTGTGGGCAGGGACACCTTATGCTAAACCATGCCACCCAAGGCCTCGTCCAACCTGGTCTTGAACACTGCCAGGGATGGAGCATTCACAACCTCCCTGGGCAACCCATTCCAGTGCCTCACCACTCTAACAGGAAAGAATTTCCTTCTTATATCCAACCTAAACTTCCCCTGTTTAAGTTTTACCCCGTTACCCCTTGTCCTGTCACTACAGCCCCTAATGAAGAGTCCCTCCCCAGCATCCCTATAGGCCCCCTTCAGACACTGGAAGGCTGCTATGAGGTCTCCACGCAGCCTTCTCTTCTCCAGGCTGAACAGCCCCAACTTTCTCAGCCTGTCTTCATACAGGAGGTGCTGCAGTCCCCTCATCATCCTCGTGGCCTCCTCTGGACTTGTTCCAACAGTTCCATGTCCTTTTTATGTTGAGGACACCAGAACTGCACACAATGCTCCAGGTGAGGTCTCACAAGAGCAGAGTAGAGGGGCAGGATCACCTCCTTCGACCTGCTGGTCACGCTCCTTTTGATGCAGCCCAGGACACGGTTGGCTTTCTGCAGCCAACCTTTCCTCAAACAATGCCTCTGACCATCCATTTCTGGCAGTGACTATGAACATAAAGGGTTTTCAGTGCTCCTCCACTTCTTACAGTCAAACCCTTCCTACCTATGTCCAGCCCTACTGGAGATCATGCTTAAGTCTCTCTTTTCCTTAAAATCTCTGGCAGCTGCAAGATGGTTTCCAATCCAATTGGGATGTACAGCCTGGGCCTATCTCTTGTACTTCCATCTCGCAGGTCCACAGCAGCACATTTGTGATCCTTGATGAGGGAGTGTCCTGGGTTCAGGACACTTAAACCACAACAGGGAGCTAAAGATGAAACTGTCTACCTCAAAGTGCTCTGACAAACTGGGATCAAAACATGTTCTCCTGGGCTCACTGGAAGCTTTGAGCCTTATAGCTTCATTCTGTGCCCTGAACTGAACTGAGTGCAAGAACTATGGCCTCTCCCGGGCATCTTGAGGGAGTTGCTGGGCCCCTTGGGCAGCTAGGGAGGGTGGCCTGGCTTGGTGAAAAATGTCAACACTCCCTCCTGTAGGCTTCACTGAGCAAACTCTGAGCAATGTGGAATCTCAGGTCAGGAGCCACTGTTCACTTTTATGTCCCAGTGCAAGATTTCAGGACCCCTGGGGCATGGTTTACACAGTCTCTCTTCTCTCCAAGAAGCCTCTAGCATGAGCACTCAAATACTGTGTCGGTACAGGTACACATAGTTTTGAACTTGCCTCTCAGATCTGATCTTCTCAATCTCCTTTCTCATTTAGTGAAGTGTTCTGCAAAAGAGGGAAAATTCTGCATGAGGGCGATATCATGAAGATGCCTAAACTAGCCAACACATACGAGACTATAGCCAGAGAAGGAGCAGATGCCTTTTACACAGGAAGCCTGGCAAAGCAGATCATCGATGACATCCACAGTGTAGGTGAGAAACAGGACATCTGTCCAAAAGAGCATGAGTGACTTGACTGCTGCTGCTCAGCACCCAGGGAGGAGCCAGTGACCTGCAGAAACCTTGGAAGTGGGTCAAGTCCCCTGCCCGAAATGCTGCCTCTGAGAAGTGTGGCAGCAGGACACTAGAGAAGTTCTTAGCACTCTAATGAATGCATTTGAAACTCAGTCTGAAATGGACAGTGTATGCTGTGCATTTCTGTACCATAAAGTCTAGCAAGCCTATGTGTTTCTGGATGTAGATAGTGGATACATGCATACAGAGCATGAATCCAACAAGTTTCAACCTAAAACATGACACGGTCCTGTAAACTCTGAGCTTGTTTAATCTCTCGATACCACTAGATGGTGGTAGTATCGTATCCTTACTAGCTAGCATTGGCCAGCTTGAACCTCATCTGAATAAGTCATTTGTGGTGGTCAATTATTGTCTTCCCCCTTCTGTTAAGAAAGGCAATAGAACATAAAAGTGATTCTGCTTGTGGGGTAACACAGCACCCGAAAGCTGCATCCTCCTTCTGTAAACAGGACTCTTAAGGTCTTTGTTACCTGACATTGCCAGTGTCCTTTGTAAATAAAAAAAGATGGATGACCAGATTTTTGGCTGCTGTAAATCAGCCCAACTTCAAGCTTAGGCTATCTGAGCCTCAGCTGGATCTATTAAGGAATAAATTAATCTCTTGTGCATCCATCTTTGCTTTCTTTACCTTGCAACTCTTTGGATTTGCCTCTGTTCCCTCCTGTCCTTGCTGTGATGCGCAGTGATGGAGTATTGCTTTCTCTTCCTACCAAAGATCACATAAACCCACACTTATAGTTTCCTTTTCTTTTCCAGGGGGCATTGTCACATTGGAAGACCTGCGGGACTACAATGCAACAGTGATAGAAGACCCCATAGCAATCACACTTGGGGAGTTTACCCTCTACACACCTAGTGCCCCTCTAAGTGGCCCTGTGCTTGCCCTCATCTTCAACATACTGAAAGGTGAGTGCCCCTGAGCAGTACCTTACAGGCAACAGGACTGTGAGGGCTCCAAAGACAACACCTTTTTAGTTTTGGGAGTTGTGCCTCCCTTGATAGCCCTCCAGCAGGTGGGAAGTCTGATACCCCAGGAGGGATCAGAGATGTGGAAACATTTCTCTTCTGTTGCAAACTCCTTCCTACTTGAAATACAGGTGTGAGAGGGAAAATATGCTTGTGACTGGGGCACTTCCCTGATACCTGCATGTGTGGAAACTAACTTGTACTTGAGGCTTTTTTGGGAAACATCTCTGCAAAGTAAAAAGCCTGCTGGTGATTCCCTTAGTGCTCAAAACTACCAGAGCTCCTGCGTTCTCTGTGGGGAGATTAGGACAGTCCAGTGATCACATCTCTGAGAGATTGGGCTTCAAGATTATACCATTTGTCACAGGTTTATTTGCAATCCATTGACCATGTACTTTCGTTTGTTGTTCACAGTTATTTGTCTTCTGTTGCCAGGATATAATTTCTCTGCTGACAGCATCAAAACGGTGGAGAAGAAAGGTCTGACTTACCACCGCATTGTGGAGGCCTTTCGCTTTGCCTATGCCAAGAGGACTTTACTGGGAGATCCCAAATTTGTCAACATTACAGAGGTACCTGGCAAAAGCCTTTTCTTTCTGCAACACCAAGACTGGCTGGAGCACGGCTTAAAGTTTATGGGTGACTAAACTTTGTTAGGGATGCTCTGTGACACCTGATATTTGCAGGCACTGTAATATCTCTGAATCCAAATGTGAAGTCCTGTGTGACTCATGGCTGAGTATGAGGGATATAAATGGAGGAAACCTCCCTGATGTAAAGAAAACCAAAATCCTTAATTCATGAGGAGCATCTGAGTATATTTAGGGCTAACCCTCCCTCGTTTCATAGTGCTTGAAGCCTTATTAGATGACATCCCTGTGGCTCTCTAACCCCAGTCCTGCCTAAAGTAAATGGACCAACATAGGGGAAGGGCTGAGGCAGGAACCCTTCTTTTCCCAACTTCACACTTTGTGCTTTTACTTCTGTGACTCTGCAAAAGCAGCAGGATCTGAGCCCAGCCCAGCTTGATGAATACCAATTTGCTGTTTACAGAGCAATGATCAGAGCTTGCCTTGGCCTAGTTCTCTCGATTCCTTTCCTCTCACCTTTGAAGCAAGTGTAACACTGCTTGCCTACGCCTTACAGCAGTGTTGATGCACAGTGATGTAAAGTGATGACAGCTTTCCATAGACCTGCAATGATAGATGCCGATTATCTCCCTACACAAAGGGCTGCATTGTACCAGCTGCTTTTGTGACTGCTTAAAATGATTTTTGGTACAATGTCCATCTCTCAAGAAGGAGGAATGCCCCTGCTGGAAAACTATAGCTTCACTGCTGGGATTTGCCACTCTTCCATGCTCTGAAGTATTGGATATCAACCTCATAACTACATGTCACTTAAACTTAATCTGCTGAGTAACTGCATTGGATTTCTCTGACAGGCGATCAGAAACATGACGTCTGAGTTCTTTGCGGATAGTCTCCGAAGGAGAATCACAGACAACACCTCCCATCCAGTTGACTACTATGAGCCAGTATATTACACTGGAGATAATGCCGGTACATCCCACCTCTCCATTGTGGCTGATGATGGCAGTGCTGTGTCCGCCACCAGCACCATCAACCAATAGTATGAGCTCAGACATTACTTCCATGTAGGCCTTTGTCATCTTCCTAGTGGTGGTTCTGTGGTTGGTATAAAACATCACTGAACTGTCACCTCTTTGTTGGGGTAGTGATGAATATCACTGTTGATGGGCACTACTGCTGAGCTTGCAGGTCAGTTCTTAACACTGAGACCTATGTGGCTGGGTCAGAGAACAAGATGTGTCCTCTCTCATTTGGAGCTCACCCACCAAGAAAACATGCACTCCATCTGGATCTTATTATAAGCAGTGGTATCACTGCTGGCTCTGACTTCCCAGACAGGAGTTTGAGCTAATACAGCTGGCCTGGAAGTGCAGTGCTTGTCTTCAAGTGCTGGCAGGAAGAGCTGTTTTCCGTGTGTGTAGCTTGAAGCTTGGAAGGGGGGGTGAAGGTTCTTTTTGTCCATAGAAAATGTCTCCAGCTTGACACATCAAAGCAAATCCTCAGTGATTCCCCAGTGTGCCAGCCTGTGAGTTATGCTGCCTCTGGATGAAGTGCCATTCTGCCTGCTGGAAAGGGAAATAGTTGTACTTAGTTGCTGTGCTGTTCTTCCTCTTGGGGTCCTTACAGGGGAGCTGTACAGCAGGGCTCTGAGCTGCCTTTCCTCTTTGTGTACTCATGGCATAAACTACTTCCTTCCCCCAAGAGGTGACAGAACGTCCTTTACAAGAGGAGAGATTGGAGAGTAATTCCAATCAAATTCCAGGTTTGACATTGCAGTAATTCACCTGAAGGTTCTCCTGGATTTGCTCTAGTTTTGACATATTTGCACCGACTTGTTTTCTCTAGCTTTGGCTCTGATGTACGATCCAAAGTGAGTGGAATCATATTTAATGATGAGATGGATGACTTCAGCTCACCTTACATAATCAATGGATTTGGAATCCCTCCTTCTCCAGCAAATTTCATAGCACCAGGTACGAACTATAAACTACCTTTCTGACTCCGACTTTTGGCTATGTCTTGCATATTAATGCTGTGGTGTCTGCAAGGTAGGCTGCAGTATGTCTGCCATCAGGCACAGAGCTGGGCCTTTCTGCAGAGGATGGAAAGTCATCTGGCATCCCTGGCAGAAGCACACAACCAGCCCCCGGTGCAGTCCTGAAGGAGAGGCTGTCTAAAGAACAGCTTTTGTGTCTGACTCCTTCCAACAGCCAGAAATCCTTTCCCTGGGAGCTCAGCACATGCCAAATGAAATTACTTAGAGCTGCAAAAGATTTCTTTGAACTGATTTAAGAGGGAGGCAGCAGCAGGAGCTAACTACAAAGTGTTAGATGGCACTGCTCAGCCTTCTCCCTGTGCTGCCTTGGAAGCTGTAAAACAGCTTTGAGTAGATACAGCTTACAATACCTAACCCAAGCAATCTGCCTGCTCCACTACTGCAGACCCAGATAAATGCTACTAAAGCAGGCTGGGATTCTGCTAACCTGTGTTTTGGAGAGGGACAGGGAAATGAAAGGACAGGAAGGAATGTGCCATAGCATATTGGAGGCAGCTGCATCACAGACAAGTCCAGCTGGGACAGGACTGTGAGGAAAGGTACCTTCAGCCTCTGTGTGAAGAACCAGGGCTGAGTTTGCATCGCAGAAGCATGAAGGAGATGGGTACAGGGGACAGTGGGATCTCCAAGGGCTGACAAGACACAGGAGCTGAGTCAGGAGGGTAGATACTGAGGCTCTGGGTTCAGACATGGGGGCAGGAGCTGGCAGTTCATAAGCTGCAGGTGGAAAGCTGAGCCTGTCTTGCACCTCTGACCCCAACAGGTAAGCAGCCGATGTCCTCTATGTGCCCCTCCATCTTGGTGGATAAAACGAAGAAGGTCAGGATGGTGGTTGGTGCTTCTGGAGGAACAAAAATAACCACAGCAACAGCACTGGTATGTGATGATATGGGAGAACAGGTGACACAGCTAAGGCCAAACAAGGTGGGGGAGAGGCAGCGTTTGGGGTAAGGGGCTGAAGTGTGCACCTGCTACACCATGGCTGTAGCTCTGCTGTGGGCCAGGGGCTTGAAAGGGAGGTTCCTGCCACTCCTGCCACAGCTACAAAGGTACTCACTTCTTTCAGGGATTCCAGGTCTTTTCCTTTGGCAAGTTGTTCTTACCACTTGCAGAAGATTTTTGACTTCAGTTTAGCATCAACTTCTCTGGATCTCCATGAACTAGTCTCTTTAGCTACTTTAGAACCATTCCCTTCCAAAATCCTGAACTTTGGATGAAAGTCACACAGAGAAGCTGAGTAAGACCTTAGGTCAGGCATGGTCTCAGGCCATCTGACAGGCAGGCTCTCTGTGGGCTGCTGTGGCAGCCATTCAAATGCCCAGCTAGCCTAGAAGTGAATGCAGGAGAAAGCTGTCTCCTGTGCCAGCACACACAGTTGTGCACATCACATCAGGCTGGATCTTGCTTTCTGGCTCAGGTAAAGAAGTCTCTGTAAAAACCGCTACAAGCAGCTTTCTAGCCCTTCATCCCAAAGCTGTTTTCATTTGCCAGCAGCTCCAAATGGCAACTTAATCATGTAGAGATGAACCAGGTTTAAGGAAACCGGTTGCACAGTAACAGGAGGCTGTAGCTGTGTTTGCTGAGGTGACTGCTGTGTGTGTCAGCCAGCACTAGCTTAATCACAGCATCATAAATCCAGCTACAATAGCTTGATGATCTGATCCTTTTACTATGTTAATTTTAGTAACTCATAGTCTCTTTGTGTGGGAATCCTCCTAAGCATATAAAAAATGGCTTGCTGTACCTGTGTTTTGGTTTAGCTGAGAGAGGAACCACTGAAAGCATCTGGGACAATAAAGTATGCCTTTAATGGTCTCTTGTGAACATTCTTCAGATAACTCTGCCTGTGTTGCTACAAGGGCCAGGCTTCTATAAAGACAAGTAACTAACATTGAGGCTTTTTGCTTTTTACAGGCAATCATCAATTCCATCTGGTTTGGCTATGATGTGAAGAAAGCCGTGGAAGAGCCAAGAATTCATGATCAGCTGTTTCCCAGTATCACAGAGCTTGAGCAGGAAATAGAGGAGGTTTGTCTAGCTGGAGCCTGGGGTGTGTGAACTTGTATGGGCTGGGTTCCTAGTTTTGGGAAGACAGGCTTGTGGAAAATCACAAAGCTTTGCCAAATGCTCCTAGGTGAGCAGTACTGAAGCTGATAGGTTAAGTATTGTTCAGAGTGTAATCTGAACAGTTTAATCTCAGTTAAAAAAAATCTGGTTTAATCTCAGTCCCATGGGTTTGAAGGGGTGCATTCAAACATGACCTACATCTGAAACTGAGGGTATGTATTTTTTTGCATTGTTGTTTGCCTCACAAAACTTGCAAAACACAAAACCACCTCAGGGCCCCAACCATTCAGCAGTCTAAATCCAGTGACCCTCAGGAAAAGCTTGTCCTATTGCACAACCTCCCAGTTGTGCTGGCACAGAGCGCAGGGGGATGCATAGAGGGACACGAGAACAAACCTGGAAATCTTTTCCCAGCAAAGGTGACTGCGCAGCACTGTTGGTATGAGAGCCAATGGCAACATCTGCCTAGCCCTGCATATCACTCACCTGAGCTGGCAGCTTCCTTCACCCTGAGGAATTACATGTCCCAGAGGCCTGAGGCTGATGAAGTCTTTGTATATCTCTCATCTCATGCCTCTATATTAGAAAAAACACTCCTACATAAGGCAGTTTTCTTCATCGAACTATGCAGAAGATCCTCCTTTAATAAGCATCTTATTAAGGTAACAGCTACCTGCCTGCACTGGGGAGGATGCCCTGCTCTATACAAGTCCTACGTTTTCCCCATTCCCAAACAGGATCCATCAGCTTTGGCTGTTTGCATATGAATATCAGAGGCTCCATGACCAGGAACAGTATTGGTCGCTCACACTAAGCACCACAAATGCCACATCTTCCCAATTCCACCTCCTCAAAAGCAGGGCATGCCAGTGAAGAGGAGGAGCAGCATGTAGTTTTAGGTCCACCTAATACAGCCATTTTGGTAGTCACAGAGGATGCAGGTTACAGCACATGCGCAGCTCCCCTCCCGTTGTCCTCATTCACTTCTGCATTCCAGGGTATAGAAGAAGAACTAAGGAAGAGGAAACACAACACCACGCGGGTGAGCGGTGGTGCAGTTGTGCAAGCCATTCTCAGAACAGATGAAGGATGGGCTGCAGCCTCTGATTCCCGGAAAGGAGGCTTCCCTGCAGGCTACTGATGTGGCTCGGCTCCTTTTTTCAGTGGTCTGGTGACACTGAGGTGTGTTTGGGGGGAAGATCCTTTAGGTCTGCAACTCAGGGACTTCTCACAGGAAAGAACAAATTTACCTGTGGTTCTATTGACAGAGCTGGGACAGTTCTCTACAGCCATGACTGAAGTGCCTCATGCCACAGCAGTCTGCTGAGACAGGCATGTCATATCAGGGCGTGCAGTACTTACTTCAAAAGACTGTTTCACCTTGAAGAGTTTGCTCCGTCTCCTCTTCAGCGCATGAACTGGGTACCCAGAGTTTCTGAATAAGCTCATTCGAGCTGCAGGAAGTGTTTGCCCTGCACAGCGTCAGCTACCAGGAATGTCCCTGTCACTGCTAGAGAAGAGTTGTTTTCTGTTGAGTAGGTGGGAGTTACAGGACTCTGGGGACTGGAGTTTTTTAAGTTACAGACTAGTAGGTCTATGCCTTAGCAGGAAGCCCAGCTCTAGACTGGGAGAAGCCTTCACAATCTCACTGCTCTTTCTTTTAACTACAGATGTTTCTGCTTTTCACTTCAGTTGGTTATTGGAGGCGAGTGTGTAAGTGGGGAAATGGCTTCAAACTTTTTTATATTTCTGTTGAGAAGGTCTAAAGGGAAAATGCTACCTGTAAAACTCTGAGCACAACTAAATAAATGAACATGGAGTCACACATTTTTCTTGCCTGCGCAGTTGCTCCTGTGAGCAAGGATGGGGAGAGCCTGTGTGAAAGAAGCTCTCCTGAGGTATTTCTCTTTTCTTCACGCCTCTGATGAAAGGAGGAGTTAAAAAAAGTTAAATCTCCAAAACAAGGCTGCTTTTCTCCAGTTTGCTTCTTACCACATCAAACTGCAGGCCTGAAATACCAGAGTCTGAGGAAATGAAGCCTCTAGAGAAGGGCACCCTGCAGCTACTCTTGTTAGAAGGTAAGTTACCATTAATCAGACGGTGAATGACCTCCCAGAAATCCGTATCTGATCTGGAACAGCTAACAGTGTTTGTAACTATGCACGAGGAGGTTTTGGTGTTCACCTACCAGCATGGACTAATAGCCTAAAAAAAAGCCAACAATTCCAGCATGTCGTCAAGCTCTAGGGATGTTTGTAAGTAGCAGTAACTGAACTCAGCTATTTGGCTTGTTGGAACTTCCCATCAGTTTGGAAAAACCTTAAAATACAGAATGCACTGCAGAGAAAATGAAAGGCTGAGATTTTAGGAATCAGGCCTCTCTTTCCCGACAGTTTCTGGAACAGAGGAGAGTCTACTTTTAAGGAATGAACTATATCATGCTTAAAGAGTCACAACTTTAACATGTATATTTGCTTCTATCACTTCCACTAAATGAGAGGCTTTTACCACAGGTTGCCTGGGATGTGCTCTGTGCTCCTTTTTGCTAAGCTGTTACTGATGACAGTGTGTTAGATGCAGCAAAGGCAGTGGTGGTAAATAACCCAAAGTCATTGTGTTCCTTTATGAATGAGAGTGGTCTGGGGACAAACCTGTATCCTTTTGTCACTGAACTGAGCGCACTGAGTCTCCAGATGAGCAAGTGTTAGTTCTGGAAACACCTGCATCACAGTCCTCTCTCAAAAGCAGCCCTCTGCTTGGGTGTCAGGGTAGGCAGCAGTTTAAGAAGAAATTCCCAGACTGGTTTAAAACACTTTATTAAAAATATAATTTAAAGACTTCACTAGAAAATAGAGCAGCTTTTGTACAGCGATGCTTTAACAATCTGTGTAAGATGAGTACAAAAATAATTCTCTCCTGTTGGCATGAGCATGAATGGGGAGAGACCAGAGTCGGGGGCTCCTTACTCAAGCCGATCTCAACAGCGGTGAGGAGGTGGCAGAATGAGAGCAGAGATCCTACAGGAGCTGTTTGCTAGTGAGGACTACAGGACTGCTGCAGTGGGAGATCTGCGCTCTCATTCCTTTCCATCTTGCAAATGAAAGCTCTGGTGGGTTTTATAAACTGCTTAATTGGCTCAGTTTCAGTGTTAGTAGCAAAGTTGTTAAATGGCAGTGAGCTCTGGACTACAGATAATATTCCCACACTTTCTTGGTGGGAAGCAGCTGTGATATTGCTGTACTGTGGCAAGGTGATGGGCTGGATTACAGAAGTAATCAGAAGTGAATGCAATTGGAGGCTTAGTTACCTGGTGACTTGTTTTTTTCTGCTACCCAGACATGATGGAGCATGGCCTAAGGCTGCCCAAAGCTTAAAAGGGAAGGGAGAGCTGCTCTGCCTGTCTGCAGCCAGTGCCGTTCTCGGTTGGTTTTTGTTAACTCTAGCTCAGCTGGGCTGGCCAGAAACCAACTTCAGATCTGGCTAAAGCCAGCGTCTGGTCTAGTTAGTCTGTCTGGTCCTGAAATGTGAGCTGCAGATGGTGTCTGGTGCCCATAGGTGCACCCCATAGGGGGTTATTTCTGACACTAGAACCAATGTACCCAGGAACTGGCAGCTGAAGTGAAGGAGGGGGTTAATGACAATAGCGAATTACGTAGATTGAAGATGACTGCCAAAAACCCCCAAAGGAATCCCTTTCAAATGAATATAAACTGCCCCCCCCCAAACTTCGGGCTGATTCCCTGGCCTTATTCACATTCAGCCACATTTGAATGTTTACTAACAGGGTGCTGTGCCACTTCTGCTTGAGTGAGCACCACTAATGGAGAAACCAGTAGTCCTTCCTGAACTAGGGGATATAAGATATATTCCACTAGGATGAGGAAGGATGGGGCAGTGCATGGAGCTGGCTCTCCACATAACAAACTTGTCTTTCATATGCATGATGAAGTGCTTGCGGCTATGATCTGGCAGCTCAGAATTCCCTCTCATTAAGCTCATACATCAGAATCCATTCTTATACAAGCTGCAGTCATGCTATAGTCCTTAGTGTACAACTTCTGAAGGAAAACGTGTCTGGCTCTAGTCAGCTTGACTCAGCACATCATTAAAGAGCAAGTGAAGGCTGAGATTCCAACAAGTCAATGGCTTTATTGGACAGACTGTGGCTAAGAATGTAGACTTCAAACCTATCTGGCCTTGTTTGCAAGTGGGTTTGTGCGTGGCCTTGTTTGGTTTTTAAGAGTATGTGCACAAGTACTTGTTATGGTGTTTACAGAGGGATTTTGTTTGCTTGGGTACTAGGAATATCATGGGCTATGTGTGAGATAAGAACTAAAACACACAGGGGAGGCCTCTGCTAGTGCCTTGCTCTGATTTGGCTTCAATTTCAGGAACACACATACAATATTGTCTGTGCCCATAGGGAAGTACAGCTCATCAGCTTTCAGAAGATGGAGTTGTTGGGAGTCATGGGAAGTTGTCCCTGGTATTTGAGAAAAGCTTTTGGGAGGTTGGTTTTGGGGTTATTTTTTAGGTTTTTTTTTTTTTTTTTTTTTTTTTTTTTTTTTTTTAATGTTTGATTCTTGGCCATTTTGAGCAAAGTAAAGTTATGAAATAACTGCAAAAGACCTTTTGTGTCCAGCCACATGAGTTCTGTTCTCTCCTCCAGAGGATTCCCCTCTTTCTAATAGCTCTTTTAAGACAGTGTATAAGTTCTGCCTAGAGACTAGCTGTGGTAACAGGGAGTTGGAGCATGTCCTTAGACTACAGGAGAAAAGCATTGTGGTAATGCTTGGTAGTGCTGCATCACTTCTCAGCAAGCCCTAGTGTTTGCCTGGCAAGGCTGAGCTCATGACTACAAACAAGGCTTCTGGGCACATATCCCTTGCATGTTGAAGAAAGTTCTAAAGCTTCCCAAAGTAACAGCTCTTCCACTGCAGGCCTCACCTGCCTGCCCAAATGACTTCTGCTGGCATGTGGAGGGAGAACTGGCATGATCTGGGACTCCTCTCGCCACAGGGAGAGGTGCCCCCAGGGAGCTGAGCTGAAGCCTGTCCACCCCAGGGAACACACATTGTCCAATAGGAAGCTTATTCTCAAAGTCACCAATGGGCAGGGTTGAAGGATGCTTTGGCACAGTTACTCTAAGCTTGTGGGTCCTTTGCAACCCCAAAGCAAGAGTGTAGTAGGACAGCAGATGTGAGCTATGGTGAGCCAATTTCATCTGCCTCCTTTGGGAAAAATTGGGCTTCTTTGGGTAAGGAACCAAAGAGGAAGAGTGTGGGGTTTTACTCTCTTCCCTTTCCAAACCCACCCTCTAAGCCTGGACACTTACTTAACGATTTTACAGTTCAGACCCTACAGACACTGCTCCTAATCCTCATAACCAGAATAGCTACTTAATTCACATTGCTGAGTCACAATAATAATTATTGTGGCAACAGCCTGAAAGAAACCAATCCTACCCTTAACTGGGACTCTCCAACAGGAATGGAAGATACATCTGGGCCATCACAGTGTTCTCAGTGAGGCTTGGACCAGTTTTCCTTTCCCATTTTGTATTATCTTACTCTGAATAGCTGACATGCTCAAGAAATACATTTTTCCATGTATCAGATAAGTGAGGGAGGGTGTAGCTCTAAACAAGGCTGGCTGACCTGTTGCATTGCCTGAGGGTGACTTGCATTCTCTGGAACTGGGTTTAAGCACAAGTTTTACCCATGCTCTCGGAGGCATCCTGATGGGAACAGGCAATACTGGCATGTCCAAGCCAAAGTACATTCTGAATCTAGTTATCTCCTGTAGTTTTGTGAGCTGTGATGGCATTTCATGCTAATATCCAGCTGACTTCCCCATCTTCCTTTTATCAGAGTAAGCAGAGATGCATTTTCCTTCCTTGGAAATTCCCTGCACAACATTCATTGCAAAATTAACTTTATTTTCCTTATGTCCTCTTCTCAGCAGACTGCTTCTAACCTCCTGTAAGGGGGAGAGAAGAGGAAATGGAGTGAATGGGGCAGAAACCTGAGGTCTTAGCATTGCCAGGTGTAAAAATGAAGGATGTGTACATGGGGTCAGGTTGAGAAAGTGGGATTTAAGCAACCAGGATTTTTCAGGAGAGTTACAGAAGCAGGGTCCTTCTCACCAAAAGGAGAAGTTCTCCAAACAAGGCCACTCACCTCATTGAAGTGGTCCTCAAACAGGATACTCTCACCTTCAGTATGCATGATGGGAGCTGAAATAGCATGTTCCAAGTCGTAGCCAAACCACAGCTTGTTTATAATTGCCTGCAAGGAAATGAATGCCACCCTGACTACAGATATTGAATAAAAACCTGGGTCCCATTCTGCCAGCCTCTGCACTGGTGTTAGGCCAGAGCAGCTCTATTGTAAATCCTGCCTGCAGGATGGGGCAAACCTGGGCTGTAAAAGGAGCTGCACTGAACCAGGACTCAACCACCACTCAACCACGAATCCTGCTAGAATAACAGAGCACATAATGATGTTTCCCAGAATGCTTTCCCTGAGCCAAAGTGCTGTCCTTGAATTCAATATCTACTGATGGATCTTATATCTTTATACTGACAATTGTTCTTTCTGTATTCAGCTCAGGTGCTAGCAGGGACTCCTTCCCCTGCTTCTCTCCAGGTTAAGAAAGTTGAAGTAAAAACACTTCTCTTTTTCCTCTTGTGGCCTTACCTGTATTTTCTTGATATCTGAACAAGATGTTTGTTAGACTTCAGCAGCAAAGTAATTCCTTTTGTTCAGGACAGGTTGTGCTCCCCTTGTGCAGTGGAAGGTACTCCTCTGCAGTACCTGTTCACTCAC